CGCAGTGACAACACGACCCTTCAGTCGTTCAAGGAATTCAACTACAAGAAGGGACTGGGCCCCGGGCTGTACGACATCCACTCTCCGGTCGTACCCCCCGTGACCACTCTGCAGGACAAACTTGAAGGTACACAGTCGCAGACCCAGTACTTGTCTGGATGTTGCGGTATCACCCGACGAAGAGACAGAAGTAGTGCAAGGATATGCCATGCGGAGCACCACACGGTAGCACATGCGCTCGCCTTGGCTTGCTCCTGGTCCGTTGTTCTTGTATACTACACTTCATTCACTGTTGATCACTCGTGGCTATGCTTTCAGTGACTGTGAGAGGGGCCAGTAGAGTAGCAGTGAGCCCACTAATCGAATGTATGGTAGCCCGGGTGTCTTGGAGTACTTCACTACATAGGGTTCCCATGAACACTGGCGGGCATTCAGTGACTGTATTGAGTACAACAGGCTCGAGATAATGAAATATTCACCAATACACCTCCCCGCACTCATGCCTCCTATTGGCAGGCTTCCTCAAAGTGCTTCCGAAGGAGCAGCTTGTCTGCAACCCGGACTGCGGACTCAAGACTCGCACTTGGCCTCAGGTACAAACAACCTTCGCTTGGCTTAACCCTTTGTGTACCCCAAACCTTGCCGACGAGCAACATCTGTCTGTATGTGCGCCACCTTGGTACTTTGCAGTGGTCGTTGATATTTTTGAGCTGACGGAATCAGATCGCCACGTTTTCGGCGGAGGTAGTTTGGTTGGGAATTGTAGGAAGTAGCCTGTCCGAACCCTTGTCGGGAGGTCCTCACAAGATTGCGCCCAAGTTCCGATTCTGGCCGCCTCTTGGTGATGAATCCCCCTCCCCCCTCCAGGCGTTCTGCCATACCATCACACGAGGTATCTCTGTACTTGTGAATACATACCACAAATGAAAAACTAGTTCATAGAACTTCTTAGGGAGACACCTATCTGAAGAAATGTGCCGACAATCCTTACTCCCTATGCTGCCTGCGGATAATTGTGTTATCGCGGTTCTGCACTTCCTACAGGTGCTTGGCGCCTTGCGGAACCTGGTCGAGGCCACCCGCAACGTGCGGACCCTTTGCGGTATCAGTGACGCGTCCGGACAGGCGGCGACGTTGCTGAGCGGTGGGCACGCCGCCTGCTGCACTCCCGCAGCCGCTCACTAGAGGCCGGCTCGCCCGCGTGACTATTGACGCGTTGGCGATATTTTTGCTTGCGGGCTCAAAGGGAAACTGACCATCCAGACCGTGTTTTCTCAATGAATCGTAGCAGTACAGCAGTCGAGAGGATGAGCGCGATATGTGATTCGAGTGAATAGAACCTGGCCAGCGTAGATCCCCTGACGTAGGGAAGTCTCGTTCTTGTAGCTATTGCTCATGTGTCCCGTCATCGTATTACCGGCTACCCGTGTGGCGAATACCACGTGGGCCGCTGGCGCCGACATATTTAGAGGGCAGATAGTTGCACCTTGGAAGTTGTTCTGGGTGCAAGCGTTGCGAGTGTAGTGTTCCGTGGTTTGAGTGTGGAATTGCCAACCATCCTTGTGACACCACGTGGGCCGCTGGCCATATGAGGAGAGGGCAGACAAAATTTCATTCCAAACGTTCATCTTGAGCCGTAGTCTAGTATTGGAACGACACAACCGTCCGTAGTGAGCCACAGCCACCTGCTTGGTCTACTTGCTGTGCGCGCACGCAAATATCAAGCTTGCCAGAAGCACAACTGCCACATGCAAGGGCGATCCCTGAGCGCAGCCTCTTCATACATGTGCCGAAACGCGAGGTCAGTCCATTGATGAAGTATTTCATTACGATATCTGTTGTCGTCGCTGTTGTCGTTTCCCAACAATACAATTAACGGAAGACAATTCGTTTGTCGATGTGCTATTCACTACCCCCGCGCGCGCAGGTTGAGTTTAAAGCACCCACGATCTTTTCTCAGGGTCGTTTGTCCCCACTTCGTTGCGGTATCTTCCAGTACGCTGTTAAGACCATCTTCAACACGAACGCATCACTAGTCATACTGCGCTGGCAGCTTTCTTTCATGACTTCATCAACATTCATTCACATTTTTCATCGAATAGGGCAAATATTTAGCTTTAAAGCTCCCATTCCGAGTGAAACGTTCCTCATGCACCACACAACGATGATTACCAGTTATTCTCATGAACCGCGCGATACACCTCCAAACTGCGGTGAGACGACAGTATTATAGGAACGCCAGTCTTGAAATACAGTATGTTCGGTTCTTCCTTTTGCTGGAAAAGAACTTTTTGGATGATGCAAAAGCATGGCTGACGACATCGAGGACAACTCCGACGAGGTGGTTCACTTGTGATGTGTCTGCTCTATTGTGCTACAACAGCGCTTGGGGAATGCCTTTCGTACGCCGACACGTCCCGAAAGCTATGACTGACCTAGCAATGGCGCCGAATTATGAGTATGTTTTTTTATCAAACCGCCGTCCGTGTTAAAGTCATTCACTCAAAACGTCCCTTGGCCATTCGCGAAGTCAGCCGAAAAAAATGTTCTTCAACCCGGCGTCCGTTACAACATTCACTCAAAATGTCTCTTCGTTACTAGCAATCAAACTGCGTTTGATTGTGTACGTGCAACATGAATGAAAATTCTACTCTGAAGCTGCTTCAGTCTCTCCCACCTAACTTCATTATTGTCGCAGACTCTCATCTTCCGATCCCTCCACCCCTTTTTAACGTAGGTATACCCTACCCTATTCATGCTAGCAGCCACACTCCTTATCACTAGCCCACCCTGAATAACATACAGTCTATGCAGATTCTATACTAAAATCAAGCTAAAACCCTAAAGCTACAGTAAGATTTAGTTGATGATTTATGATCATGAATCGAAGATATGAGTCTTCACAAAACATCCCAAAGGAGGGTGAGTTGTAGAAATATCCCGAATCAACCCCCCACACCATCATTGAGACGAAGAATGCGAACGGTCACAAGGCGGAACATCGACATCTCAATGACAACGCTTGAAAGGATAAAGCTACGAAGAATATATTGTGCTGCAGGGCACGCTATCATCCTGAACAGACGAGGACAGAGGAAACAAAATCAATGTCCAACCGCCACACACCACTCTTTACACGCACCCGCGCGTATCGCCACTGGAGGAATGAGGGTGACTACCCGAGAGAGTCCAAAATACGGTGACGAAACTCAAAGTCAAAACAAATTTCCGAACGAATACCGCCTTCGATACTGGACGCGACGCAAATGGAAAACTCAACGCAATCTAGGACAACGTCAACGAAGGGCACGAGAGAAGGCGACGCAACGGGATGGAATTTCGAAGCAATAAGCGTATGCGACACTTCTGCGGCACGATGGAGCTAAAAAATAAAAAACTAAGACAAACATTAGTTGGCCAACAGGCGAACCAGGAAAACGCGGGGAACTCGATGTCCAAGTATCCCGAGGCAAAAGGCACCGACTTGGGGAATTTCCACGTGTTCAGAGGCAGACAACATGGACGACACTTGTGGAACTCTTTTGCCAAGTTTTCAGAGGCAAACAACACCGACGAAACTTCGGAGGGAGCCCGTCGAGAGAACCAAAGACCAACAACAAAAAGAATGAGGAATGGCAAGAGAGAACGTACATCCAGGTCGCGGTAGTTCACTGATTCAGGCGAATGCAGGCAACAAGGAAGAAGGATCACTCTACACTGCGTGTCTTGAGGCGTGTTGCCCCAGCGTCTAAAACAAAAAGATAAGCCAAAAAAAGAATACAGAAAATACAGAAACATAGAAAACAAAACCAAAACGGAAGGTAGAAGAAAAAAATCCGAACGCCGGCGAGAAGGAGGGCACAAAAGACCAAAAAAGGCTAACTCGTATTCGAAATGACGACGCTAAGAAGAACTGCTGGGAACAGTGGACGGTAAGGAGTTAAGAAGCGGAGGTTTCGCCCAAAGGGCGCGAACGATGTTTCTCTAAACACCATGATCCACAGACGGTGTCCAAGGCGGTGGAGTAGAGGTGCGCAGGCAGAGGCAGAACGCTTGGGCCCGGGTCATCCAAGAATCGAACGATGTACGAGCCGCCCTAATGAGCACCAATACGTCCGGTCCACCACAGTCCATCGCTGGCCTTGTACCACAGCCGCGCGCCAACAGGGAGGGGCGAAGTGCTGAAACCACGAAGCCAAGTCGCGTGAAGCACAAGATCAGCCCCATGAGGCAAATAGTGTTCTCCACGACTCCGGGCTAGCTCCCGCTGTGCCGCGCGAGTCCGAGCNAGTCCATCGCTGGCCTTGTACCACAGCCGCGCGCCAACAGGGAGGGGCGAAGTGCTGAAACCACGAAGCCAAGTCGCGTGAAGCACAAGATCAGCCCCATGAGGCAAATAGTGTTCTCCACGACTCCGGGCTAGCTCCCGCTGTGCCGCGCGAGTCCGAGCCACTCGATATGCACGATTACCCTGCTTGCTTTGGCAGACCTCCCGGAACCAGCGCAAGAGGATGTGTCGACGGAATCGATCGAGGTCGGATTCCCGTTCCCATGAAGGAGTAGTTAGGCCTAACCAATGCGTCTGGTACAGGACAGCGAGAACGCCGCTACGGCCCCGCACCAGTTGATGTCCCGAGGTGTAGTCGACCTCGAGGCGCCCGACAGGCACCGACACATCATCCGCGGTGACGTGGAACGGTGGAGATTTGTCTCCGAAAGAGTGCAGAACATAACGCGAAAGCTCGGCGGGTAGAGACTGCGGCAAGTCGTCCGTCTCGTATGGATCGCGACAGAGCTTGCAACGAAGGACAGACACGCGACATCGAGTTGCTGGGCCGGAAAGACCGGAAGTCAGGTCCAGGTAGAGGAGTTTACGCGCCAACGGGCTGCCGTCCGGGGTGGCGTCGGCAGAAGCGGGACCCACCGCAAAAACATTGTAGGGCCCCGTCCAGGAGAGTGCGAATTTGGCCTTGAGCACCTGTTGGTCCGTGTCCTTTTGCACACCCTGTCGAATCGTAGCAGCCGTGATGTACACCCAAGTCCACCCGCCAACGGTAAACTGAGGGAGCTTGTGAATGGCGTCCAGCAGNAAAACATTGTAGGGCCCCGTCCAGGAGAGTGCGAATTTGGCCTTGAGCACCTGTTGGTCCGTGTCCTTTTGCACACCCTGTCGAATCGTAGCAGCCGTGATGTACACCCAAGTCCACCCGCCAACGGTAAACTGAGGGAGCTTGTGAATGGCGTCCAGCAGGGATGAATTGCGGCGTTCGACTTGCGAAATCTTCAGGGCGTTGTACTCACGGACAAGTTCGTAGGCCCGGCGCTGGCGATCGACGGCCAGGTTGCAATACTCGAGTTGATCGCGGGCCAAGCTTTGATGACCACCGATCGTGGGATGATCGAAGACCGAGAGGGGAAATCGCGGGATGCGTCCGATGTGGATCTCGTTTGGCGCCAAACCAGTGGACCGGTTGACGACATTGTTGTAGGCAAACTTAACGGCGGGAGATGTATGTCCCAATCGTTTTGCTGTTCGTTGACGACCACCGCAAGCATGTTGGCCATCGTGTGATTGACGCGTTCCGTGCCGCTGTTGGTCTGCGGGTGGTAGCAGCTGGTGGTGACCTTCATGATTTTCGTCAACTCGTAGATCGCCATGGAGAGCTTCGAGCAGAAATGCAGTCCGTTGTCCGACAATAATGTAGTCGGACATCCCCACTTGGTCATGTACTGGTTGACGAAGATGTGAGCCGTCCCTTTCGCCGTACACTCTGCCGCTGTGACAGCGAACTTGTCGGCTCTCCGACTGAAACGGTCTGTGAACAACAAAATCTAGGAGTTGCCCTTGGCAGTCACTGGCAGAAGTCCGAAGAAATCGACGCCGACGACCGTACCAGGCCCCTGCAGCAATGGCATAGCGATGACGGGCCACCGAGCAGTCTGACGCGAAGTCTTGCGAGCTTGACTCACCAAACACGCTCGAAGCCACCAGCGCACGGAACGATCCAAGCCAATCCACCAGAAGAAACGCTCGAGCAGACGATGTGAACGATTAACGCCGAGATGGAAGGACGCGGCGGTATGGCATGCATGAAGGACCCACGGACGCATCAGCATTGGCACGTAGACACGGGGCGCGCCAGTATCCGGCGAGTGGTCCTGCCGCCGGAGCGCCCAATCGGCGACGGCGGTGATTTATGAACGAGGATGGTGACGCTGTCTTCGGTCGTGTGCAGTCTGGTATCCGCCGCCAACGCGAACACATCGTCTAACCGAGGGTAGCGAAGAGGAGCACGGAAAGTGAGCAAGTCACGAGGGGGTGGGGAGGGAGAACGCGAGACAGAAAACGCATATTTACCTCACACTCGCTCTCCCGCTGTTGTTCCCTAGCCCAATCCACATTGCTGAAACTCTGGACACAAGCTTGCAAGTGGGAGGTGTCCAAATCAGTAGATCCCAATAGAAAGTTAGGCGATCGAAGCGAAGAGGTTGGAGAAGGAAAAGCACCAGCGAATGAGGCAGTCGCAGTCCGCGATGATGTCCGTGAAGGGGACATCGTGAGGGGCGAAGTCCCGGGTGAAACCTGTGTAGAAGGCGAAACCGGGGATGCAGGGCGCTCCAATGACGGCGAAGACACCAGTGGCGTAGGGGCAGTCGACGAAAACGCCGATGCCGGCATCGCGGATGGCCGCAGCATGCGCGCGGCGGTCCGGGTGGTCTTGTGTGTCGAGCGGGACCTGCTAGAGCGACGGGCAGGCGACGATATCCGAGGGGCGATGGTAGCCCGCGGCTGGCGTCCGAAATAGGCGGGACCGGCGACGGTGCGTCCGGCAGCAGCGGTAGTCTTGGCCCGGGTCCGGAACGAATTGAGCGACCCCCGCTCCGGAAGCGAAGACAAAACGTGCACATACCTAGTCGCCAAAGACGCGATAGGAGACATCACTCGGACGCAGCAGAAGTCAACGGGGAAACAGGCCCTAAAGATCCGGGAACAGGCGAGACCATGACGACCCCCGGAGACCGCCGAGGATCTTCGCAGGCAATCGTCGAGTCCGTTAGAGCATCCAACCGGCGCGGGTGATACCGGCGAAAATCGCCAAAATCGGAGGGCTGCAGCGCAGGGGGTGAAAAGACTCCCGCCGGGCAAGGAGGGCGGAGCCCACCCAAACTGACCTCCGGCGTAGACGACGAGTGGTAGTTGAGCCCGCAAACCCGAATGAGGAAGGCACACGCTTGATCGACAACATCAATACAGTTGGGGCCGGTCTTTTGGTGGTAATGGCAGCCGCGAAAGAAAATCCGCGTTGCCGTTCGCCGAACCTTTCCGATACTCCAGGGTGTAGGTGAAGTTGGACAGAAACTCCAGCCACCGTTGCACCCCAGCGTTGTGTTCCCCAACCTTGCCAATGCTCTCCAAGGCTTTGTGGTCCGAATAGATGATGAACTTGGTCGACCACAGAAAACCGCGAAGGCGTTTGATGGCCCAAACAATGCCACGAACCTCCAGATCCAAAACGGTCCAGTAACGCTCCACAGGAAGAGTAGCGCGGCTGATGTACACGATGGGTCTCACCGAGCCATCGAGATGTTCTTGTTCCAAGGAGGCGCCAAAGCCGTCGATACACGCGTCGGAACACAAACGAAGAGGACGGCTGTTGTCCTCGATTGCTGCCCAATCCGGGAGACCACAATCGGGGGGCGAGCGAGTTCGTTTAACAATGTTTTGACGACCTTGACCATGCCCGGGGTGTACTTGAAGGGCACGCCTTGTTTGAGAAGATAGTTGAGAGATCGCACCTTGGTGACGAGATTCTTGAGGAATTTCCGGTAGTAGCTGCGTCCACCGAGCAGGCTCCGAAGCTGCTTAAAATTCGTCGGCGGCGGCATGTGTGGTGAGCGCTCTATCCTTGACGCCATCAGGGCTAACACCGGCCGGAGAGATGGTGTGACCGAGGAAGTTGGCGTGCGTGGCGCCGACGCGAGCCTTCCCTGGAGACAGTTTGAGGTTGTACTGTCGCAGTCGTTTGAAGAACTCGATCATGTTCAGCACGTGTTCCAGAGGTCCATGATCGAAACAGATGACGTCGTCCAGATACGCAAGCACACGCTCCAGATCGTGCACCACTCTGTTGATGACCTTGACGAACCAAGACGGACTTGCGTTGGCTCCCTGCGGCATTCGAAGTCATTCGAACAACTGCGTGGGAGTGCAAAAGACGGTGAGCGGGACAGTGTCTTCATCGCTAACGATCTGGTGAAAAGCCGAGTTGAGGTCGATAATGGAGAACACTTTCCCGGTGTACAGAAAATTCAAGATACCGTCCACCCGAGCGAGAGGTTGTCCATCCAAATCCATCAGGGCGTTGAGACGCTTGTAGTTGATGGTGATGCGAACCGATCCGTCCTTCTTGGGGATGACAACTAAAGGAGAAGCCCACGGAGACGTGGAATGCTGAATGAGCCCTGCCGCCAAATACTGGCCCAAAACGGCATCCACTTTCTTTTGTACTATCGGGCTGAAACGATACTGGCGTGACGCAACGGGCTTCGTCCCTGCTGGGACAGAAAGAGTGAAAAGCATGATGGTGCAGGAACCAAAATCAGTTTTCGAAGTAGAGAACACGTCAAAATACTCAACAAGGGCGTCCGCCAACCGATCAATAACCTCGGGTGTCCATCCCGGATTGTGTAGATCGAAGGCGATGTTCATATGTGCGGGCAGCCTAGCCCACAAGCGCATGAAGCTGGAGCGCTGTGCCTCAGCGAAGCATTTCAGTACTTCTTGTGGAGGCGGCTTCGGAGGAGGCGGGGCGGAGGCTGGGTCCGGTGAGCGGCGAGTCCCCGACATGGGGCCCACGACGTTGACCCGAGGTGGTGATGTAGAGGCCGTGGGGCCGGTAGGAATCGAAGATGGTGCCGCCTTCAGGGTTTCCACCGGTACTCGTAGTAGCGGCGCGGCAGACACTTCAATTACGTCTCCCGGCTCCAGCTCGGCACAACCTGCAAGGGGAATACGCTGGAGACCATTGGAAACGAACGCATTTGGGAACGAAAGCGCACCCACTTCGGGTTTGAACGATATCAAAAACTCTCCGATCAGCGCACGCATGCCAGAAGAACGAACGAGGTCCACCTCAACGAGTGCAGACTCCGGCCCCAAGGAAACTCCGGAGCTCCCTGCATATTTAAGGTGAAACGAGGCGGCAGGAGCGTCGTCGTGTGTCGTAAACGCAAGCGCCAGCTGTAAAACGCGGAGAGAGTGTGAGCTCGCCCATAACCCGGCTGTCCTGTCCAGGGTGGGGGAGGGTAGTGAGCACGCGAGAGCTGAAGCGCATCCAGCTATCACGACCCAGAAGCACGGCGTGCCCCATGGCGGCGTCTGGAACAACACAGGCCCAGACTGCCAAGGAAGCGGTAGCTCTATCTCCATGGAGAAAGTTAACGGAGAGACGAATTGACCGGGTGGTTACAAGGGCGGGTCCATCACCGAACCCACCCCAACGACGAGAGGGCGAAGCACGAACGCTGCCAGCTGTCAGGGTTCCAGCATCTATCATGGCGATGACCACGGAGTCGGACACGAAGGAAACAGGAGACCCAGAGTTCAGCAACGCCACTCGCGCGAGTTGAGAAGTGGCTGTAGGTCCTCCATGCAGGAGGACCCGGGTGGTGTATGAGTCCGAGTTCAACAGGAGCGTGCCGCCGACCAGATCGGGCCCATGTTCGAGAAGAGGAGGCTGGTCTGCACAAGCGGAGGTCGATGCCACCAGATGAACCCCAGGAGCATCGTCCCCCGGAGCGTCCAAACGAAAACAAGCTGGGTATTCGCCCCGGTCCTCCCGTGACGACGGATCTGCCGCAGTAGCAACCTCGGGGATGCGTCGATGTCCATAGAGAGGAAGCTGCGAAATGGGGGGCGTGGGTGAAGTGGAAGCGGGAAAATCTTCGCCAGAGCGGGGATGATCACGCAAAAGGCGTCGAACTTCCATCAAAGCTTTTCCCAACAAGTTTTTACCACTAGCCGCCCACTTGGTTGAAACGCTAGCCTCTGGAAAGCATGCAGACATGCCGATACCCCAAGCACGATCGAAGGGGCTGGCTTCCGCAAGCAGGCGGGTACCCGTCTCCAGAAAGTGTCGTTTCATGTCATGGTTTTGAGCAAGTTTGGCATACAACCCGGTACGCATGATCTCTTCTCGACGACGCTCCCATTCAGCATAGTCGAAAGGATGCACGTTACGACCCAAAACCTTGTGTGTCTTCGGATCTGTTGCAGCCATAGTTTTGTCATTAGACGCCATATCTCCAAAAAACTTCGCTTTCTCAGTCATCATAAATTGCTCACCACATGAATAACGTACCCCAGTACGTCAACAGCCGAAGGAGTCCAATCCGAGAACACAGACGAAGGTTTTCAGAAGAGGATGTTATCCGTAGCGTACTCGCACTTGTCATCAAACAGCGGAGCTGGTGCAGGACGAAGGGGCAAAGACCGGGCGCCAGGCACAGGCGGGGGCGGGCCAAGCGGACGAGTCCTCATCTCCGACGGGGAGGACCCAGAAAGCGAGGCAGGAGCGGGCGGAGTCACAACGTTCCTTGGTCCGGAGGGCGGCCTACGGGCGGCGGCTCCGGCGAGGTCAATGTTAGCAGAGGCCATTCGGCTATTAGAAACCTGTTCGTTAGGAGAAGTCATTCTTGCAGCAGACGGATGTTTGTTAATTGAAGCAGGATACTCCCCCTTGACAAAGGAGCCGAACCTTCCACAGAATGGTGGGCACTTCCATCGGATCCCGATGGCAGTGGTGCAGTCAGCACGTGGTGGGCAGCAGAACAAGACGCATTCGTATCAGGTGCTGTCACACGGGGGCAGCTGACGGTCGAAGACAACGAAAGCTGCGAAAGAGAAGGAGGATCGACGGGGTTGCCGACGAGTGTAGAAGAAGGCTCGTGTGCGATCCGAGAAGAGGCCCGGCTGACAACACTAGGAGAGTCTTGACGAATAGTAGAAGGAGAGGTTCTTGTTCCTTCTGTAACCCGAGACGACGAGGTGAGCAGGGACGGACCGCTCGACGTCTTACCTCCCTGTCAACCACACCAAAAAGGTACTACCGAAGTGGGTTTGTCATGTCCAATACCAGCAGACGATGAGGCGGACGACGAGGAGGCGTGCCGAGAAACTAGATGTGATTTAGGAACGAGGGGGGTATCCAAAGAAGTAGGCTGTACACGAACATCTTCGTAGACTCCAAAAGGGTGCACGGTGGTGGCTGTTGACGGTAGTACCGGCTGAACTCCGCCGCCGGCTTGTCATTTCTTACCCCTCCAGTCCCTTTTTGTCGAAGTGGAAGCGTCCGACGAAAGCTCTGTGTGTGAGGACTATTTCGTGTCCGATGCGTCAGATGAGCGGCGGGCGCGTCCTGAGGAGTGATTTCGGTGTGGTTTGCGTCCTGTAGGGCGGCTGTATGAGGTCATGCGCTTTTCCCACCGACTCCAAAGCGTGGGATCGTTTTCCATACAGAACTTGATGTCATTGTTAAGCAGGCTGGTGGCGTTAACGAAACCAGGAGTACAGGATTTGAAGGAGTGGCCTTCTCCTAAGCAGTTGAGGCACTTGCCCTTGTACAATCGAAGCGCGTCGCGGCGTTCTTCAGGACCAAGGGGCTGAACAATGGCGGATCATCCTTGGTTAGAGCCATCTCACTAGCGACGTTGTATACCCCTTGGAAGTGTCCTTGCAACTGCCAGTCACTGTAGTGTAACAGAAAAGGGTCCCGATCATCATTAGGTAGAGGGTCAACACTCATCACGGCAGCCGAAGAGCCCTGGCTCCACGAAGGGGTTCCCGTCGAACGCAACGCCGAAGAAGCAACAGCACGCGAAACAGCAGACGAACGCCAAGCATTCGTGGAAGATACGGAAAAGAAATCGTCTCCATGCACCGCCGGCGTGTACGCGAATGCACGCTTGTCTAACACATCTCACATATCATCCAGACACGAAGCATGTCGCCCAAAAGGGGCTTCCATGGAGAGCTGCTCATCCTTGTACACCTGCCCAGACACTACTGGACACTGCTTCAACATGGAGTCTCGAACAGCTATCTGCACTTGCGCATCCGAAGGCTTGAACGCGTGGTGAGAAACTATGACGCTCATGGCCAGAGCCTTACAGCGACGAATGTACTCTCCGTAAGTCTCGCCGTTGGATACGCCAAAACCGCGAAGACGATCAATCCCCGAGCTCTTGTCTTCAGTGTCCCAGGCAGCCGCCAGTTTCTGGATGAAGAAGGCGTACGTCAAGGGCCCGGCCGGTTCCTTGCGCAAACGGTTTTCTACCTGAAAGAAGGTGGCGTAAAGAAATCCAGCGTGGCACGGTTGGCGGTTTGGTCTTCGACGACAGCAGCACGGACAACAAACAACGGAAGCCATCCGGTGACCGAGGTGGAAGATTTGAACGTCTGCTTGCGTTTGACGTCGCTTTTTTTGAGGATCTCTGTGACCACACCCTTGCAGCTAGGCGCGAAACGAGAAAATTCATCAGGATCAGGACCGAGGGGCAAGCGTGTGACACTATCAAGTTGTTCCGGCTTCAGCTTGTCCATCTTGTCTTGAATGCGGATGGTGTCGGCCTCCGCTGCAGCGGCGTCCGCAGCGTCCAGAGCCTCCTGCCTCGCTCTCGCTCCCGTGGAAGACAAAGGCAAGCCAGCATCGTCCTGAGTCAACGGCGATGTCGCTTGGCACGGTGGCTCGACGATGTGGCCGTTCGCAGAGCTAGGATCAATCGGAATAGACGCACGCTGGAGGGGGGGGCGACACCACCAAAGGCTGTTGCAACAGGGCTGGGGCTGCCGACGCTGACGGCACACCACAGGTCCGACCGGTACTGCCGCCGACATCGTGGCTGATGATGATGACCCTGACGTGGTCCTGACAGCGGTCTCTGCACGAACATCGCCCTACAGGAGCTCCCGAGGAACTCGAAGCGTGGCCTTGCAGCGGTGTCAGATGCGTTCGTGGCGAAAGAGATGGGGAACGTGGTGGCCTGCCAGGGGCGTGGGAGGGCACAGGAGGTTGTTCATTCTTCTCGGCAGCAGCATTCACACCTTGACCAGGCGTTTGTGCTCGCAGGAGAGTGAGTACTTGTTCCAACAGCATTTCAGTACGGGACGCCGAAGTCGAGGCGTGTGATGCAGCATACCGTGGTGACTCAACACGTTCGTCCAGACAAGGAAGATGTGACATGATCCATTACGGCATGGGGAGGGGCATGGCTGTTCACAGCTGCTGAGTGTTCACGAAGTTGCATGTTGGCAAGTTTGAACGCCAAAGAAGCCATGGTCGGTTGGCCTACATCAGCGGGCAGGCGCGAAACAAGCGATGAAAAACAGAGGGACGCGACTTCTGAAGCATCCTTGTGTTCCCCCAACAACCCAGAGCTACGAAAATCACCCCGATCATACATCACTTGCCTGTTACCGTGGCCTGACTTCCGTCCCCCTGATCCGCCGCGACCGCTGTCAGTGCTGGTCGCCCTGCTGTTGCCCCCGCTCCGGTTCTGGCTCCGACTGCGGCTACGCCTAGACGAAGGCGTGTTGCTCTCACGATGGTCTCCGCTCCGGCTGCGACTACGCCTGGACGAAAGCTGGGTGCGCTGGTGACGTTCTGCATTCTGGCTCGTGCTCCGGCGGTGGCGGCTCGCCGGCGAAGACCTGGTAGGCTGTGTCCCCGCGGCTTGCCCCCGCCCGCCATCTCCGGTGCCGCGCCCTCGCGAAGAATGGTCGGAGCGGCGGTGGTCGGGCGTCCCGCTCTTGGCCGTCGGACTTTGGTCACCCCAATGGTCATTCTAGCTCTTTGACGCAGGAGCCGCCGACCGACTGTAGTCCTTGTCCCCTCTAGGAACACGGGCAGGGCGTGAAGAGGCTGGACGGGAGGCCTACAGATCGTGTTTGAAGTGGGTGGTTGAGGCAGCAGGAGCAAGGGGCAGCTGGGGTTCACCATCGTGGGTCACCATCGAAGTTCCTTGAGGATCGCTCAGAAAGGTGGCACGCCGGAGAGCGAACAAAAGCCGGAACACGAACTGCCGCGGAGAAGGCGGAAGCTTCGCGATGTAGGGGCCAGAGAAAATGTGCGCAAATGTAACTGTGTGAGAGTGGGGAAATTGAGCACTAGCGAGTTGTTTGACGCCAGCCCATGCAAAAAGAGCTTCCAGTTTCTCCTCATCGTGAAAAATTACGTCCTGGGCTGGCATCTCTAGTGTGCGGGACAGGAACGCGGTATCGCCCGCCTGGAATTCGTACCCCGTGGCTGCGGCCGCAGTCGATGCTCCGTCTTCACCACCGGCCGGACTGCCCAACGTCACCGAGAACTCCGGAGTAGCCGCCACTTCCCGCCCTTTCCCCTTCGTCGAGGTGGTACTGCGGGAACCAAGAGTCACCGAGGCGTGCTACGACTGCGATTGGGGAAGAGCAACAACACAACGATGGGGAGAGGGCGAGAGCAAGGCCGCTGCTTGCAAGCCATGGGGGCGAAACTCAAGGTGGTCCAGCCGTGATCGGAGCGCCCCCTGCTTCGCCATACCAGCTTGGACGTACGCCTCGCGCTCCGCCTGCTCAGCTATACGATCCTCCTCTTGCTTCCGAGCTGCCGCCAGAGCAGCCGCACGCTCCTCCTCCTGCTTCCTCGCAGCAGCAGCCAGAGCAGCCTCACGCTCCTCCTCCCGCTTCCTCGCAGCAGCAGCCAGAGCAGCTTCATGCTCCGCCTCGCGCTCCGCGTCCTCGCGCTTCGCCTGCTCCCGCGCCACAGCCGCTGCTTCCGCCTCTGCTACCTTCCCGGCAAGACCGTTGCACCACATCTCGTTCAACGCTTGGTAAGCCATAAACTCATTGTGGGGCAAGAGGATCACTTTGTCTTCCGCGGGGAGCGAGAAAGGAGGAACGAAAAGGGGAGAATCGGACGACAGACGGGCCGCCACGGCAATATCCTCCAGAGAAATACGTCTTGCGTTGTAGGCCTGTTCCAGGTCCGCCGGATCCGCCGTGGCAATTCATCGACAGTGAACGCTCTGGTTGTGGGGCTGCTCTCGTCTCCCGCACCGTGTTCGTGTGTCTGGATACGAGCATGGTAGATCTGCTAGCAGCACGGGGGGGTACGTAGACAAGAGCATGCGTATGCCTGAAAAAGGCTACTATGTGTGGGCCCCCTTCCCCGAAATCTGGAGGGCCACTTCTTCCCTTCCTTTTCTCGCTCCCGCGGGTGCCTAATCAGAGAGAGTCAAAGCGTGAAGTACACAGCGCCCACGTTCAGCGGAGACACCAAGAGCTTTTCTTCGTGGCTAGAGGATTTTTTGATGGCAGCGAACACAGCAAACCTTCTTGAGCTTTTCGAGGAGGGGGGGGCGGAGATCCCCGTAAACAGTGGGCAGAGCAAAGTCCAACTGTCCAGGTATTACCCGCACGACAAAGTAGAGCTCGCTTTTCACGCGTGGAATTTCCTCCGTGGAGCTCTCAAGGACGAGAAAGACAGGACAATAATGAAGCGAGCTGAGTCGCCCCTGGGGGCGCTCCGGGAGCTGAAGGGGTTGTACGACCCAGAATCGCCCATGAAGCCTGCGGATGAGTTAAAATCCCTGACATCCAAGAAGATCCCGATGGCTCATGCGTATGCCTGAAAAAGGCTACTATGTGTGGGCCCCCTTCCCCGAAATCTGGAGGGCCACTTCTTCCCTTCCTTTTCTCGCTCCCGCGGGTGCCTAATCAGAGAGAGTCAAAGCGTGTCTTCTCCTCCCAAGTACGG